GACCATTATTTTAAGCAGGGGGTGGTCAGAGTCATCACAGCTTTGGAGATTCAGCAGAGAAGGGGATGCTGACGTCTACTCCAGGAGATGAATTAGGAACACTACTCAGGTTCAACCCTCTCCTGCTGACCCTGGCCATGCAAGTTACTTAACCCTCTGTGTCTCAGAGTCATTATCTGAAAAGTGGGGATAATGATAGGACTTAGCTCATAGGTTATTATTGGAATTAAATGAGTTAATAAATGCAAAGGTCTAAAAGGGGTGCCTGGCACAAAGCCAGTGACAGCAGAGTATTAGTTATCACCAGTAACATCACTACCATCAGCTCCTGTAGCCCCATAAGAAAGAGTCCTGCTCTCATTTGTGGTATATAAAAATAAAAACATAGTATGAGACTAACACTCAAGGACAGTAGTAACAAGGGCCAGGACAAATGGTCCACATTTAGAAGCCTGCCTCAAGGGCCGGGACAGAAAAGGGGCCATTATGACAATAGGAGATATGTGCTAAAAGCAGGCAAAGGACCAAACATGATGACCTCTCAGTCCTGTAGTAGAAACCATAATGCCCAAAAGGAGAGAAGAGAGAGAGAAGAAAAATACCTGCCATAGAGGCAGGCTGTGGGGGGAAGTTCGGATGGGGGGGTGGCAGGAAGGATACAAGGGATATTGGTGGTGGGAAATGCATACTGGTGGAGGGATGGTGTTGGACATTTTATGACTTAAGCCTGATCATGAAACCTTTGCAACTATATCTCATAGTGATTCAATTAAAAAAAGGAAATAAAATAAACTTGACTATGATATCAAAAGAAAGAGAAGGAAGAAAGGAAGGAAGGAAGAAAGGAAGGAAGGAAGGAAGGAAGGAAGGAAGGAAGAAAGAAAGAAAGAAAGAAAGAAAGAAAGAAAGAAAGAAAGAAAGAAAGAAAGAAAGAGAAACCAAGCTGCTGGCTGACATGGAGAACTCAGACTTCCAGAGTGGAAGGTAAGGGCAGACCTTACTGAGGCTCAGATACGCAGCCGAGTTTACCCTGAAGTCATTGCCCCCTGTGCATAGTGGTCTCAGCCAAGGAGGTGGTCTCACTTCCTTTCTTTTAGATATCACTAACATACTTTTAGATATCACTGACATACTTTTAGATATCACTGACATCAAGGTAATAAGTGAACAGTAGTAATTTTGTTAATTTCACCAGTATTAACTTCACCGCAAATTAGACACTGGCCTGCTTTCCAGCTGGGCAGGCAGAGTCACTGTCAGTCTATATATAGCATTAGCATGCATTTAAAAAAAAATCCCCCCTCTACTATTCCTTTTTTGGAATCAAAAGGGATCAATTAGGTTTAGAATCATGAAAAAGTAATCCCTGCCCAGGCTTGCACCCTTATTTTTAAGGGGAGGGCTGGGAAATGGGAGTTGAGTGTCCTTACTATTACCACCCACCTGGGAAAACAGCGACCACCATCCAGAATGACATGGGGACAGGGCAGTGGGGGAAGAAAATGTTCCTTTGGCTACTGGGCTCTGCTGAGTCCACTGAGGCATGTTGCTTCATGTCTTCAGAGTCAGCAGCCCTTCTGTAAATAATTGTAAAATGTTTAGGGAAGCCGCCTTCATTTCGAGCAGCCCAAATCCCCAGTCCAGAGACTGAGCTCTGTGAAGGATTCCTGGTACCCAGCAGACCCTTGTGAGGAATTTGAGCTGGGCAAGAAGGCCCGATGTTTTTCTGCAAAATGGGGCTGATAAGGTAAGTGCATGTTTCAAGGGGCACCAAGTCCCTCTGTTGAAGATGTGCTAAATGGGTCACAGACCTAATGTGAAGACACAGCGACAATGCATGAGATCAGGCACAGGGTGTGTGCGATTTGTGTTTTAAGAAGGGTGGTGAGTTTTAAAATGTTTTAATTTGTATTGCCTCACTAAATTATTGGATGATGTTAAACAAGATCTTTAACTTCTCAGTGCCCACTTCCCCCCGGGGGGCGGGGGAGGAAATGAGACAAAAAGCATGAAATAACATCCCCCTTCTTATATATATATATATAGCTTTAAAAATTTAAAATTATAAAATTCTCATTTTATGCTTTAGACAGTAAGATGAGTCCAGAGAAGTCAAATGACTTCATGGCAACAGCTAACAAGAGAGCAAAGTACAAGGAGTTGATTGGTGGGTCCCAGAGATTTTCTACAAAATTCTATTTTTATATACAAAACCCTCTGAGATTTCCTGTTTTCACATTATTGAGCCAATGTGACCCACATTTGAGATGCATGAATCAAACTTCGAGTTGTTTCTCTCTATATTAGATGCTGTCTGTATAGTAATTAGCTGGCTGTCACCTAGGTTCCTCAGAGAGAAAAATTTCTAAAGAGCAAGCATTTGGTAAAAAAAACTTAAATTGAATTAAATATGTTCACAAAAAAAAAAAGTTCATTCAGTTTCTGGATTTGGGTCTTCAGAATGAAGCCTATGCATGAGCTGACATCGCTCTCGTCTTCAGCTTGATCTATTTTCCTAAGGCCTTTCTAAAACATTCACGGACCTTCACAGATCAAATTTATGGCTTTGCAGGCCACAAAGCGGGGTGTGGTGCGTGTGTGGAAAGAGCATGAGGCTTTGGAGTGAGCTAGGCCTGGGTTTGAGATCTAATTCTTTCCACATTGATTCAGCAAATATTTATGTAGGGCCTCTTCTATGCCAAGCCCTGTGTCATGTTACCTTGGGTGGGTCATTTAACTTCCCTAAACCTCTGTTTCCTCTTCTATTGAGATTATAAACCCTTTCTTTTAGCATAGGCTGAGAATTAGAGATAGGGTCTAAAAATGATTTTCATACAGTAGGAATCAATTAAAAAATTATTACTATTATTTTTATTTGAGGAGCATCTGCAAATATCATATATATATAATCTTAAAATTGACAAATGAAGAAACAGGAAAGAGACAGTTAAAAAAATATAAGAAAATTGTGGCTGGAGGGATAATACAGTGGGAAGGGCATTTGCCTTACTCACAGCCAACCCCAGTTCAATCGCCAGCATCCTATATGGTCCCCCAAACACCGCCAGAAGTGATTTCTGAGTGCAGAGCCAGAAGTGGCCCCTGAGCACCGCTGGATGTGACCCCAAAAATAAGAAATATATGTGTGTGTGTGTGTATATATATATATATTTGCTCGAGCGGGCCCAGTAACGTCTCCATTGGAGACTTTGTTGTTACTGTGTCTGGCATATCGAATGCGTCACGGGGAGCTTGCCAGGCTCTGCCGTGCGGGCGAGATACTCTCGGTAGCTTGCCGGGCTCTCCGAGAGGGGCGGAGGAATCGAACTCGGGTCGGCCATGTTGGCCGCTTATAAGGCGAACGCTCTACCCGCTGTGCTATATATATATGAAACTAGAAGGAAAAGAGAAAGAAACTCCTGAGAAAATATTTGATTTATCATCTTTGGAGGAAAACTACAGGTAATTAAAAATCAGTACGATTGTGTGATTGTGTTATACATGCACAATCTGATCCTTATTGTTTATTTTCTTAAAGTCTTAAAATATCAGAAGTGAACTTTCTACATATTCTGTCATATGGTATTCTTGTTTTCAAAGGCAAAATCAGGTGGAGGGTCAAAGGTCCCCTGCCAGTGGCCTCCTCTCTGTCCAGACTCAGAACCAGCTTCCCCGCTGGCCTCTCCCGGCCCTGCACAAGGTCGTAGGATGAGAAACGTCTACAGAAAGCAACAAAGATAACTGAGACACTGACTCATCTGAAAGAATATTGTTCTAAGGGTTGGTGAACCGAATAAAGGAATGAAGATTTTTTAGAGGCAATCCTGGAAACATCTGTGAGTTGCTTCAGCCCCCTGCTGGTCACAGGGGAGAAGGTCAGACTCGTGGGATTTCAGTCGGTGAAATCGCAAACAGGAGAGAGCACATCAGGAAAAAAGGGATATTTGGGGAAGACGTTGAACAGAAATAACCAATAGTCGCACACTGATAAAGGAAGATTAAGGGAAGGGGACCCTATCACAAAAGGTAATTTCCAATTTAAGATTCTTTCATTTTTCCCTTTTAGTTTTGAAGAAAGAATCCTTGTTCCTACTCGTGAGTGAGGTTAAGGTCAGCCGACAAAACGTTTTTTACCTTTTTCAAGAGACTCCTGGTATTTTTGAGTACTGCACTGTAGCACTGTCCTCCCGTTGTTCATCAATTTGCTCGGGCGGGCCCAGAAATATTGTGAGACTTGTTACTATGTTTGGCATATTGAATATGTCACGGGTAGCTTGCCAGGCTTTACCGTGCAGGCGAGATACTCTCGGTATCTTGCCGGGCTCTCCGAGAGGGGTGGAGTAATCGAACTTGGATCTGCAATTGGCTGGGTCGGTTGTGTGCAAGGCAATATGCCTTACTTACTGTGCTATTGCTCAGTACAAGTAATTTAAAAATCCTTTTCTTAATTTTTTAAATTCAGTGTGTCACATTAAATCCAGACATGGTTGTTTTCTCCTGAATTATCTTTCTAGCTCATTATAGCAAAATTAATTAAATTTTGTTTAATTGAATCACCGTGAGATACAGTTACAAAGTAGTTAATGACTGAGTTTCAGATCATACACTGTTCAAGCACCCTTCTCTTCAGCAGTGCATATTTACCACCACCAATTCCAGTTTCCTACCACCATCCTCCCCCATTACCTTACGCCACCCCCACCCCTACCACCTCCCAAGCCTACCTCTATGGCATTTTCTTCTCTCTCTCTCTCCTTCTCTCTCCCCTCTCAACCTCTCTCTGTCTCTATTTCTGTCTCTGTCTCTCTTTCTCTCTCTCTTAAACACACACACACACACACACACACACACACACACACACATTTTCCTTTTAGGCAACTGTCTAGCAAACACTCTTATAAGCCAGTCAGTACACAATCAGACAGACAGGGTGACACTACCCTCTAATGGTCACAGAAACATTCACAATAATTAGAACAATCCACACTAATTGTTATTACCAGTTTCTTATGAAATCGCTTGGATTGACTATTAAATCCTTTTTTTTCTGGCTCTGGAATTACAAACTGAATATATTTCGAAGGAATGGAGGAGCGTGTTGGGTATGCAGCCGTGAAACCTAAACAAAAACAAATAAAAATTAGCATCAAGAACTGACAAATGCAGAAAACAGCTGCCTTTCATTTAGATTTTGTTTATTTGGGGGCCATATCAGGCTGATCACAGGGATTATTCCTGGCTCTGTACTCAGGGATCATTCCTGCTGGCTCTCAAAGAACCATATGTGGTTCCTGATTCACCTTGTGCAAGGAAGGCACCCTACCCATTGTGCTATCTCTTCAGCCCCCAGAGATTCCCTCTAAGTTTTATTTTCAATCGAATAGAACAATGCCGTATTGGTGGCTCTTTCAGGGTCAGGGGAATGAGACCCATTGTATTTACTGTTTGGGGCATATCAAATACGCCACAGATAGTTTGCCAAGCTCTGCCGTGCAGGCGGGATACTCTCTGTAGCTTCCCAGGCTCTTCAAGAGGGATAGAGGCTTTTAGGGTGGCCTCTAATTGCCCTTGCAGGTCTTCCCATGGTTCAAGCCATATTTGAACCCCATCAAATATGGTGCGGTAATCTTGGAAGGTTAAAGCAGCCTGGAGCATGGCAGCAGCTGGGTAGTGGAGACATCTGTCTTTAAAAACTCATTTGGATTTTTTGTTGGCTCGTTCACCAACGTGGCTGGGCGCAAGCCTCAGGCAACCACAAGCTAACATCCGAGCTCACAAAGCAGTGCAGAAAAGCGATAAAGGAAGACCTCAAAGAGAGAAAAGCAGCAGTGCTGGCCGATGTGGCAGAAGCTGGGAAAAACATTTGCAACACCCGCCTGTCCTTCCCCAACTACAAGATCAGGATGACTGCCCTCTGACATCCTGATGGATCTATCACATCTTCCAGAAGGGCAATGGAGAAGATTATCCATGACTTTCTTACTCGGATTTCTTCGATAGCCACGTCCACCTGCCCACATACCAAATTCCGCAGGATAGATATGTTGTTCCCAACGTTCTCCCTTCCAAAATCCGACACGCCATTTCATCGGTGAAGAACCAAACAGCACCCGACCCAGACAAGGTCAGACCCAAACACCTGAAGAACCTGCAGCCAGTACTCATCAATACACTGGCTCGGCTCTTCACACGCTACCTGTCTGAATGCAAGGTTCTGTCCCAAAGGAAACCCAGCAGAACTGTACTACTGTACAAGAAGGGAGATATCCATGACATTGGCAACTATCTCCTGATCTGTGTGTTGTCTGTCATCTACAAGCTGTTCACTCGAGTCATCCTGAATAGGATTGGCAGATCACTAGATGAAGGACAACCATGCGAGCAAGCCGGGTTCCGAAAAGAATTCAGCACGATCGACCATATCCACACGATAACAAAGCTCATTGAGGTTTCTCAAGATTTCAACATGCCGCTCTGTCTAATGTTCATTGATTTAAAGAAGGCCTTTGATTCTGTTGAGACTGAAGCAGTCATCGAAGCCCTAGCCAAACAGGGCGTTCAAACTCAATACATCAGGATCCTCCGTGAGCTGTATTACATATTCACTACCAGGATCTCACCATTCTACAAAGAAGTGATCATCCATGTTAAGAGAGGGGTTCGGCAGAGTGATACCATTTCACCGAAACTCTTCAGTGCCACCCTCGAGAACGTCATGTGACGACTGGAATGGGACTGGAATGGGAAGAAATGGGAGTGAAGATAGATGGCCGGCAACCACACCACCTCCGCTTCGCTAATGACATCATTCTAATAACACCAAACATTAGCCAAGCAGCACAAATGCTGGCCGACTTTGACTGTGAGTGTGGAAAGGTCAGACTACAGCTGAATCTCATGAAGACAATGTTTATGAGAAATGGTCTCGTTCCTGACGTTCCATTTGCTCTTAACGGAACGAACATCTCCGAATGCAACGTGTGTACCTAGGTCGAGAACTCAACATGACGAATGATCTGGCACCTGAGTTGCGCAGGAGGAAGAGAGCGGCTAGGAATGTCTCCGAGAGCGTCAAAGAATAGCTAAGAGGACAAAGAACCTCCGGCTCCGGCTCCGGGCACATCCTTCGATTCCATCATTCTTCCTGCATTAACATATGCCTCAGAGACCTGGGCCCTACAAAAACAGGATGAGAACGCTATTCAGGTCTCCCAAAAAGGAATCAAAAGAGCTATGCTTGGAGTATCATGCTTCACTCAAGTGAGAGAAAGAATCCAGAGTTCCAACCTCTGTCGATGGTCAAGAATCAAGGATGCTGTCTCGTTTGCCAAGGCATCAAAAATCAAATGGGCCGGACACGTAATGAGATTTGGAAACAACCACTGGACTAGAGTCATTACTGTCTGGATTCCATGGGACATCAAAATATCGCATGGCCGCCCACCTATGAGATGGTCAGACTTCTTCGTCAAGACCCTGAATGATCTGTTTGAGGCTCTTCATGTTCCTGGAGTAAGCAGATGCCATTGGGCTACACTAGCGTGACAGGGACGAATGGAGACGTTACTGGTGCCTGCTCAAGCAAATCGATGAGTAACGGGATGTCAAGTGATCAAGTGATCAAGAACAATACCGTGTCTTTTGACCAGAGATAAACATAAAACCTGCTTTTAAAAAAGTACTCCCTTTAATTTCTTGGCCACATGCAAATTTATCCGCAACTTCCTACTCCATTTCTTAATCTAGTGGAGTGATCCCACTGTTGAAATGTAGAGTCGCAGGGAAGAAGAAAGAGAGGACAAGGAAGATGCTCTTGCTAAGTCAAAAGAGGACACAGAAACATCTGTGGAGCAACCTGGGATAGGAGAAAATCAAAGATTCCTCCTCACACTATCCCCAGAATTCAGCAGAACAGCCTGATGCAGGCTGGAGGAATCCCACTAATGGCTTACTGTCATTGTTCAGGTGCTGTCCAAGACAAGGATAAGTTTATTCTTTGTCTCTGCTTTGGAGAAACACAAGGGTTAAAGAGAAGTCTGGGGTCATTTATAGAAAATCACGGGAAATTTTTATGTGTCTGGTTTGGGGAAATTGATACATCATATGTATCAACCCCTTCACCTTGACGGTCCCTATGTAAGAGAATATACACAATCAGAAAGCTATTTACACTCTAACCTCCACGGGTCATGGAATCTGAGAACAAAATATAATTTAATAAAACCATTTTTCTTAACTGCTGACAACTTTTAAGCCTCACCCTTTCCTCTTCCTCTTCTGACCCACACCTGAGTATCTGATGAGAAATCCTGAATGCTCTATCCTTTGGTACCTGCCCAAAGTTCAAACTATGAATCCTTGCTATCACTCCATCCTCATTAAAAACACAAACAAACTTGGGGGCTGGAGCAATAGCACAGTGGGTAGGGCGTTTGCCTTGCACGCAGCCAACATGGCCAACACAGGCTCGATTCCCAGCACCCCATATGGTCCCCTGAGCACCGCCAGGAGCAATTCCTGAGTGCATGAGCCAGGAGTAAGCCCTGAGCATCGCCGGGTGTGACCCAAAAAGAAAAAAAAAAAGAAAACCAAAAAAAACAAGCAAACAAAAACACCAACAAACAAACAAACAAAAAAACAACCACAAAACAAAACAAACAAAAAAACCCTACCTTCTCCTATTTCACTTTTTTCCTCCTCCTCCTCCTCCTCCTCCTCCTTCTCTTTCTCTCTCTTTTTGTGTTAGGGCGACATCCAGTGGTACTCTGGGCCTACTATCAGCTCAGTTCTCAACCAATAAGTTACAAAATCAAAAGATAGTAGGGAAAGAGAAGTGAGGGCAATTTTCTGAGTCTGAGATCAGCAGAGGCTTTCAAAACTCATCTAGAAGGTGGAAGTGAGCATTCATCAATGTTTACTAAAAACTGTAGAGGTTCAGAATTATCCAGGTTTTGTAGTGTAACGAAATCAAAGAAAGCAGGATTGCTGGGATGGCTATTTCAGCTGTGTAGACAGAGAACCAATGTTCTGAATACTTGTTCCCTTTCCTCCCCTCGCCACCGCCCCCTCAACCTCCCACCCATCATATGACCTCTTTCTACCAAGAAAGATCCAATAACTTAAAACAAGGAGGACATGGTATTTGCACTAATGATGACCTGGTGTTCAAGTTTCCAACAACCCAGCAGATTGGGACTTTTGTTAAAATTTGGTAAATAAATTTCTCACATCTAAATTTGAGGATGAGCTTCTTACCGAATACACAAAAATGATAATCTGGTACTTTTTTTGTGAAATAAATTTCTTCATCCTCCAACTTGCAAATCCCATCTTACAACTTTCTCCCAATCATTGCACAATAAAGAGCGGGTACTAATTAAAGCAGTTGTCTGACATGCATTCAGGATGACCTTGTGGATATGACATAGGATATAGTACATTTCCTTAAAATTTATTTTTATATGAAAAAATAAACATAAGTGAAGAGTCTTTCCTCCCTCCAAAGATATGTTATTAAATTCATTTTTAGACCTTTGAATAGTTTTCTGGCATTTCTGGAAGATAGTTTTTTCTGTGTTGAGCTGTTCATCTTAGCAAAGTTTTCTTGATAAATTCCACTTGTTTCATGAGAAACTCTACTATATGTTCGTCTATGTACCTGAAACAGAAAAATACGCATTTTAGGAATTGTTCACATCCTTGTTCGATGTGTCTACTGAATATTCTATCTGCAGGTATACTGAGAAATCTTGTGGGGTGAGACTGAGCATGACCAAGCTCTATGAACCCAAAACCCAACCCCACGCTCATCACATGGCCTGCAGCAGGATCTCTGTACCTGGATACTTCCAGAGCTACTAAAGACTTGGGCCTACGCTTTCATCATTATTGGGATCATTTATAAATAGCTGTAATAGTCCACCAATTATAAGAGTATAATTCTACATTTTGATCAATGATTACAATTTGTTAAATACCACCATAATAAAGATATAAATATCCCTTAAAAGGATCCATGGGTCACTCCCAACTCTGTCCTCCAGCAACTACTTTTCTGCTTCCCACTAAAATTATTGCCTTTTCTAGACTATAAAATATTATCAGTATTGATCATTTTTCGATATGCCAGACACAGTAACAACAAAGTCTCCAATGGAGACGTTACTGGGCCGCTCGAGCAAATCGATGATCAACGGGAGGGCCTTTACTTTTTTACTTTACGATCATTTTTCATTCAGCACAGTGCATCTTTTTCCTTTTTATGATTTTTGGGCCACCTTTGGTGGTATTCAGTGCTTACCCCTGGCTTAGTGCTCAGGGATCATTGCTGACAAGACTCTGGGGATAATATATGGTGCTGGGGATCAAACCCAGGTCAGCTGCATTAAGTCAAGAGCCTTAACCCCTGTACCATCTCTCTAGTTTTTAGCACAGTGACTCTTGAAATTCTTCTGTACTGCTTCATGTACTAGTATCTGGTTTTAATTACTCCACATATCACCCCAACATGTGCTTTGTAAACCTCTATAATTACAAGTATTCTAGTGGATATTTGTAGTACCTTACTGTCATTTTAATTCATGATTTCCTGTCCCCCCCCCCCCGTTTTTTTTGTTTTTTGTTTGTTTGTTTGATATGGTTTGGGTTTTGCTGGTTTGTTTCCCCACCTGAATTTTGGGTCACACCCAGCAATGTTTAGGAATTACTCCTGGCTCTGCACTCAGAAATTACTCCTGGTGGTGCTTAGGGAATCCAATGAGATGCCAGGGATTGAACCCGGTCATCTGTGTGCAAAGAAATCGCCCTATCTACTGTGGTATCTCTCTGGCCCTGCTTATTTTCTTTCTTTGAAGTGGCTGATCAAATATTCTCTGCTCATTAAAAATAACAATTTTGTTATCTTATATTCTGAATATACACCCTTTATCATATATATATGGGTGAGTTTTTTATTTTTTGCTTTTTTTTTGGTCACACCCAGCGATACTCAGGGGCTACTCCTGGCTCTACACTCAGGAGTTACTCCTGGCAGTACTCAGGTGACCATATGGGATGCTGGGGATTGAACCCATGTCGGCTGTATGCAAGGCAAACGTCCTACCCACTGTACTCTCACTCTGGCCCCTATCATATATATGTTTAAAAACATTTTCTCCCTAGGCTGGAGAAATCGTGCAGTGAATAATGGCTGCCATAAAAGCAGACTGGGGGCCAGAGAGAAACTAAGGATAATGGTGGAGGGAAGTGGACTTTGTTGAAGGGATTGGTGGTGGAACATTGTATACCTGAAAACCAATCATGAATAACTTTTACATTTAATTATAAATTTAAAAAAATTTTAAAGGATACTGGACATCATCCTAGGACCCTATCACCACATCCAACTAGATTTCTGCTCAGAGATCAGAAGAAATCACACTCCTATAGAAATGGTTTCCTTGACTATTCTCTATTAATACATACCACCCCATCTCTTTCTCTATTTCTCTAGCCCCTTATCCTGCCTATTTTTCTCAAAAATCATTCTCATTATATAAAATATCATTTTATATTTACTTCTTTACATGTCTCCCTAGAGAAAATATTCATCACTGAGTTCCCATTCTGTTTCTTCGTAGAGGGCAGTTTGCTCAATAAATGTTTGTAGAGGAAAACTAGAAAGACACATTTTAGCAATAACATATACATGTACCTGTAACTCATTCAGAGAACTACACTTGATACAGATTTAACTCAAATGATTACTCTTGAGACATGTTTTTAATTCTACCAGCTCTCCCTTTAAAAAAAGATTATGATGTTATAGTATTAACTAAATATTTTTTACACTATGGGTTATGCCAATATACACTAAATCATGTACACTGTTTACTTAATCTGGAAATTTATAGACTTTGTATGAGTAAAGTTTTTACTCTATTTGTGTCAATTCGGTTATAATGCGATCAAGCATGTTAGAAGCAGTTTGCGTTTTTTCCCCCCAATAAACTACTCTCAGTGAAATTGGGGACATTGGTGGTGAAAAATGTACACTGGTGAAGGGATGGGTCTTGGAACATTATATAGCCAAAACCCAATCATGAATAACCTTATAACTGTATATCTCACTGTGGTTCAATTTAAAAAAATAATGAAATAAAATTTTAAAAAACGCACAAAAAAAAAACCCCAAAACTACTCTCAGAGATGAATCCATTATCAATATTTCATTAGCTGAGAAATTTCTCGGAGTTGTGGATTCCAATCTCATTCTTTCACTTTACAGACAGCTAAGTTGAGGCCCACAGTAGAGAAGGTATTTGCTGGAGTGAATTTGAGACTAGAACTCAGCTCTCTCTCTCCTACGATTCCCCAGCACAGTGGCCCTCGATCCCCTGCATACTCCATAAGCTGAGGCCAGTAGTCAGTTATTCTGTCCTTCAAAGCAGCCTCCAGGGCTGGCATGCCTAGCTCTCCCCACCTCTTTCCAGGTGGAGATTCTGAGGACACACCTCCCGGAAGGGTCTCTGTGCTTTCTCCCCTCCTTGCAGGCACCCACCGGCACCCAGTACGCAGGGTGTGTATTGGGGGTATCCGAGGCATCCCAAGGAGATAAACGGATCCTCCTCACCCCGGATCCGAAGACAGGAACTGCCGCCTACCTCGTAGGTCTCCCGGGACTGACTCTGGCGTCACCAACCTCCCCGTCACCAAGGCAACCCGAGACTACACATTCTAGGAGTAACTCTAGCCAATGGTGTCTCCTGTTTCTTTAGCATGCAGTGTTCTTGACCAATGGTTAGAGGCGTTTCAAAATCCGCAGGGAAGCTGCCAGAATTTGGGGATTCGGTTTAGTAAGTACGTCAGCATTTAATGGAGGAAACTTAATAGGAGCTTATCTAGTTCGATAGCCCCCAAATAGCAAAAGTCTTAGAATTTTGCTCATCTCATCCTACTTCAAAGAATAAATAGAACTAACATTCTCATATCCAAGCCTATTTTTAATAACGCTGATGACTGACGTGGTCAGTTACCCAAGGGCAGCTTGTACTGTCCCAGGAGTCCCTCTTCCCAGGCTCTAGAGTAGTCACAGTGACCTTATCAAACTCCATCCCCACCCCCAACAGTTCCCCCTTTAAATTTCGGGTAAAATCCAAACACATTGCAGGTTGGCCAGTCCTGGTCGCCCTGCCATCACCTTCTTCCCAGAAAAACCTCGCACCAGCTACGCTGTCTTCTGGGCAGCGGCTACAACATGCCAGCCTTTTTCTGTTCTGAATTCGGCTGTGCCCTCCACTCTCGCTTCTGCTCAGGGTCTGACCTATCATCAGATTTTTCTTATCGTCGATCTCCGCCCGAAGGTCATTTCTCATCTGTAAAATTGACGTGCGCTCGACGTCTTTCGGGGTTGTCAACTGAGTCGTGGCTGCGGATGTGAAATGAAATGCGTGCAAGCGAGAGCGCCTGAGCTCCGTGCACGTGATCGTTGTGACAGTTGCACACAAGGAAAACATCCGTCAAGTACCGACGTGTGGCTTGTATAGACTCGGAGGGCTGGTACTGACTCAAGCCAACAGGTGTTTCGGAGGTCCCGAGGGCATATGCCTGTGGCTTCGCGAGGGTTTGGGGAAGACTTTTTGGAGGAACCTGGCGATGAAGGTTAAGAAGGATTTGAATACATGGCAACCCCCTGCGGATGATGGGGGTGGGAGACTGGACGGCAGGAGTAAAGCCTGAGGGTGGGCGGCTCTGAGGAGAAGGGAAGACTCCAGGCAGGCCGCCCACCTGTACGGCAGATGGACGTGAACCGCCACCTGAGCTCTCCAGGACAGTCAGAGAAGGCGATCAGGGCTGGTTCCAGCGTCCTTCCCGTGCCCTCTAGAGAGGACTTCCTCCAGGTGAGTGGGCAGCTCCGGTCCTCGCAGTCTCACCGGGTCCGGCCCTGCGCTTCAAGCAAGCTTTGAGATGCAGCCAATAAGCTGGAAGTTGTCCCGCCCACCTCCTCCACGCAGCCACTCGTGTGTGCGAAGCTCTCGCCAGCTTCTTGACTGGCAGGCAACCTAGCAAATCACATCTTGGCCTTTGAAAGCAAAACACTGCAGCACCCGGGGCAGCTCGGAGTTGGGAAGAAATTAAAGGAGGCTGCGCCTCCGGCTTGCTTTCCCGAAGAGCCCAAGTGCTTTCCGAAAGCTCTGCTAGGTGGGCCTTAGAGGGAACGCCACCGGTGAGTAGTGACTAAGACTGAGAGGGCCGAGGGAATTTGAATTCTGCTTTATTTATTTATTTTTCAGAAAGCAAATTCCCTGGGAATCCTCGAGTGTCCCTGGGTATTAATACCTCCCTCCTCGCTGTCACCCGCCCTGTCAGTTTGGGTCACCTTACCTCGGAGATATATTTTTCCAATCCGACAACGAAGGTGACAGGGGAGTGGGCAGTGGCTTGCCTCGAGAGAGGTGATGCCCTATTTTATCAAATCAGGAAGTGACATGGAGTAACTCTCATCATTTGCTCTCTGGCTCGGGCGTCCTGACAGTAGCAGATGGTGGGGTTAGCAGGTGGGACGAGGGGAAGGCATTCTTGTTCGGCATGGCAGCTGGAAATTGTGTTCTCCAGCTCCACGGCTTTCAGAAAGCCCAAGCCTAAGATAGGGAAACGCTCCACATGTAACTGACACTCACCGGCTAGGCACCGAGTCTAGGTACCGAATTGGAATCGTCAGGTAGGTGGCGAAGGGCGTGTTGGTGTTGTTCAGTTGGAGCCAAGTTCTGAGCAGACCCTACCCTTAGCAAGCTTCAAGTAGTTTCTCCCCGTGCCTAAAACCTGCTCTGTGGGTTGGTGGAATCATTGGTTGAGATAAGGGGGGTGCGGTGTGGTGAAAGCAAGCACCCAGTGAATTGTTTTTTCCTTTCTGGAGCCCAGTGCGCTTGTTGAAAGGCAGCTGGAGTCCCAGCCTCCTGCTTCTTGGGTCTGCTTCAGTTATGGGAAAGCACTTTGGAAGTCAGGAAAAGAGAGGAGACAAGGAAAGCGGGCCTTATAAGGGAGGACAACTGGCAGACTTTCTCCGAAGCTTTTTGTCCAGAGGCTTCCCCGGCTGAGGGAGAGCCTTGGATTTTTGGAGGCTGAGCCTTGGAAATCCAAGGGATTTCTGAGAAAGAGAGAAAGAGGATTTTAAAAAGCAAATTAAATGCCTGGTACCACCATCGCATACAAAACGCAAAACTAGAGACCCACTTGGACCAACCTACCAGCTGATGTAAAGGAGATTAGAAGACCAGAATTTATGGACATGGAGAGTATCGCGCTAAGTGAAATGAGTCAGAAAGAGGGAGACACATAGAGTGGCCGCACTCATTTGTGGAACATGATAGGAGTATATAGTAACATGATAGGAGATAAACACATGCCAGGAGGATCGCTCTACAACTTGAAAGTTGGTCTCACGTGCTATAGGAAAAGGCAGCTGGGATAAAGAAGGGACCACTAAGTAAATGATGCTTGGAGGGCTCGCTTGGGATGGGAGATGCGCTCTGAAATTAAACTATACACCAAACATAATGGCCGCTTAGTACCTATATTGCAAACCATAACACCCAAAAGGAGAGAGAGAGAGAGAAAGAGGGAATGTGCCTTCCACAGAGGCAGGGGGTGGGAAGGAGTGGGGGTGGCAGGAGGGATACTGGGAACATTGCTAGTGAAGAATTGGCATTGGTGGAGGGATGGGTATTCGATCACTGTATGACTGAAATGTAATCATGGAAGTTTGTCAGTCTGTAGCTGTATCTCATGGTGATTCATTTTAAAAAATAATAAACATAAAAAAGACCAGAATTTTATATCCCCCATGTGACATGATCCCAGGGCTAATTTGCTTTCTCTGACATCCTGTGGGTGGGGCTGAATTTATCCGTTGTATATCTCAGGTTGTGGAGGCTTAGACCTAAAATAAGCCATTTTGTTTTGGATTGTGAAGCAGCCACAGGGTCCCAGAAGCTCCACAGGCCTCCCTTTAGCTAGTCACTGGGTGAATATGGCAATAATTATGCCAGGCTCTGCACTAGATCCTGATTGAAGTGACTGAACAGGGGATTCTACAAAACCTTTCCAGTCTGTGTCCCAGTTATCCTTCACCACCAGAGCAGAATTCCTCCTCCGGAAGTCACTCAGAGATGAAGAAAACCCTGGAACAAGCTTCCTTTTTTAAGGCTGTTATATTAAAAATGTTAAAACTGGCATATATCCATCTAACATGATAGCACTTTTAACATATGTAAAATGATAGTGAAGAATAGTTATGATTACAAACATAAGTATTCAGGCTGGGAAGTCTGGGTTATGCGATGTAAGTTATAAAGCCTGATGAGTGTGTTTCATAATGTATGTCTATGTGCACATACATATGTGAGCTAGAAAGCTTTTGAATGTGTAGTCTCATCTGGAGGCCGTGGCATTAATTTAATTTGGAAGCCTTTTGACAAAGTGAGACCTGGGCCAAGTAGCCTTTTTTTTTTTCAGCTCTTGTATCAAACCTTGTGCTTGGTGTCTCCTAGCTAGTAGACAAAGGGCTACTATCCAAAGGGCTTTGGGTCATGCCTCCCTATGACAGTGACTTTACTATTCACACCAAGAGCCAGAATCCTGGACCCTGGGCTATATAACAAAAGAACAGAAAGCTACAGGAAATAAGAAGGTAGCTTTCTGGAACCTGGAGGCCTGGGAGAGACATTTTGGCACCAATTAAGTCCTCAGTACTTATTTGTTGTATGAATGCATGACAGAGAAAGAAATATTTGTCAGCAAATTAAATATAGAAACTGCTACAAATGAGATTAATACTAATAATTGTTCACAGTCATTGCCCACTCACTGTTAAGGCTTTTTACATGCAATATTTCATCACACACCAATTATTTCTCACAACAACCCTGTGTGACAGCAATGTAAAATAGTAAACCCCATTATTTTACCAGAGAAAATGGATTGGGAAGTTAAACGACGTGGCCAGTATAAGCAGGTAGCACATGACAGGTCAAAAGCCACCTAAAACCTTTTATAATGGAAATGAATATACATCGACATTATAATAGAATTAAAATTTGTATGTTAGCTTCTTAAATATTAAAAATCATCAAAGAGAGCTCCAGGGTAGGGCTTTGGGTCATGCCACCCTGGACAGTAGGGGCTCTCTCTCTGTTCTCTCTCTCTCTGTCTCTGTCTCTGTCTCTCTGTCTCTCTCTCTCTCTCCCTCTTATAATTGCAGGAAAGCTTTAAATTCACTGAAAATATCAGTTCCCAGTGAAGTTAGCAAGAATCATCAACATTGCTGGTGAGGTCACATTATTTAGCACACTAACCCCACTTTACAAAGGAGGCAGCAGAAAGAATCTTCCAGAAGCCAAGTGATGTACTCTTTCAGTTTAACCCTTCTCAAGGTGCTCAGCAGGCCGTAAGCAGCAGCCCAGGCCACTTCTTTCATGGAGATTTCTTTTATTTTCCTTCTTATTTCCCTAAGATGACACCCAGATGATTCCCTTTTTGTGAGTGTCTGTGGGATATTTTTTTATGCCTTGAAAAGTAAACATTGGAAACATTCTGCTTTTTATATAGAGAAACCTATGAAAATGGAGGGATTTAAGTTAGACAAAAGGGGTTTTTTATTTATTAAGTAAGGGAATTTTAAAGGTACAAAAAGAAAGATTTTAAAGTATCTGAGCGATAGCATACAGTTTCTTAAGCAGCCTCATCTATCATGGCAATTAGTATCTTGTCCTAATATTTTTCTCTTCTTGGGGAGCAAAGTTGGGTTCAATGTTCATTGTACATGAATTTTTATTTATTTTATTTATTTTGTTTGGGGGGCCACATCTGGTGGTAATCAGAGCTTTCTCCTGAGCTCAGGGAACATTCTGGTCAACTTTGGGAAACATATGGGATGTCAGAGATGGAACCAGGATCAAACACATGCCAGGCAAGACTCTACCCACTATACTATCACTCTGCTCCCTATACATACAGTTTTAATGCTCCCCCTCACCACCCTACAGGAAAGATCAGAAAACGGACTTTTTCAGCTTGGAAGAGACCAAAATTGTCACTTCTCTGAATGAAGATGAGGAAAAGTCTCTAAATCAGGCAAGACAACGTGAAAAACTCAGAGAGAGGACACGATGGCTGGTGGGAGAAAGAGGGCTTCCAGCTTTGGTGCTGCTTATCAGCTGTGCCATTACTGAGCCAGACCTGGAGATGTGCCATTAGCCAGCATGGATAGAACCCACAGTGTAGCCCTGCAGCTGCAGCAGCTCGTGCCCACCAGCAGTGCTGACCCCGTGAGCGAGGCCTCCTTCTCCTACAAGGTAAGATCTTTTGGGTATGGAATTTTGTCTTTTTCTGACAAGAGAATGAAGCATTGACTTGCTGATATGTCTAGGGGCCACATGCCTATCACTGACATTAATAAACTTACAGAAGGTACAATGCAAGGACAAGAGCTGCTCATTAAAATACACAAAAATAAGGAAGTGGAATGATATTTTTAAGGAATGCATTCCCACTAAGAAGATTTCATATTTTTGTTTGATTTTATTCTTTTGAGGAGGGGGCACACCTGGCCATGCTCAAGACTTCCTTCTGGCTTTGTGCTCAGTGGTCACTCCAAGTGGGCTCATGAGACAATAAGTAATGCCAGGGATTGAACCTGGGTGTGCGAGGCAAGCACCCTATTCGTGGTGCAATTACTCTAGCCCCAGAAAAAGAAATTTATTTCAAAATCATCTATCAGGAGCAGGACAGATGATTCAAAAGCTTGCACTCCTGAATTCAATCCTTGGCACTGCATATCACCATCCCCCAAGGACTTCCAGGATGTTCCTGGTGTGCCCAGCACCACTGTGTCTGAGCAGTACCAAGAATGGAATCTAATCATATAAACTGAGATCATTTGGGTGGCCCTTTAGCCCCAAAATTAGCTACTGTGTCACTTGGGAGGCAGTCTTTGTTCAGATTTTATTATGTTCCCTTCCCTTATTTCCGGTATTATAAATTTGGGATCAGATTTACATTATCTTATGTATTTTGGTGTTTTTACATAACCTTGTTTGCAGAATATTTCCTATGACACTGAGTAGGAATTGAAAGAATACTTGTGAGTTAGAAATATATTTCCAAGAGCTATAGCACATGCTTATATGTGGGAACCTCAGGTTCAGTCCCTGGCCCTTATTCCTTTTCTTTTCCCTCACCCACTCCTTCTCCAGATAAAGTAAAGTAAGTAAAGTAAAGGCCCTCCCGTTGATCATCGATTTGCTCGAGCGGGCCCAATAACGTCTCCATTGGAGACTTTGTTGTCACTGTTTGGCATATCGAATACATCACGGGTAGCTTGCCAGGCTCTGCCGGGCAGGCGAGGTTCTCTCGGTAGCTTGCCAGGCTCTCTGAGAGGGGCAGAGGAATCGAACCCGGGTCGGCCATGTTGGCTGTGTGCAAGGCAAACACCCTACCGCTGTGCTATAAGAAATAAAAATAATAGTGAATACAGTTGGCCCAGTGATCAATGGATGGCAAATAATCAAACATAGGAGCTAAGAAAGCACTGAACACTTTCTGATGAGTTTTTAAAAGTTTCCTTTTAATTTCTTTTCTGTTCCAATTTTAGTTTGTGCATTGTGATTTACAGTATTATTAGTAATAGAGTTTCAGGCATACAGTGTTCCAGCTTCATACCCATCATCAGTGTCAGCTTCCCTTCCCAATATCCCAAGGTCCTCTTCCACCTATCCCACCCTCTTGGAAAACTTTTTTTTTGCTTTTTTTGGGGGTCACACCCAGCGATGTACAGGAGTTACTCCTGGCTCGGCACTCAGGTATTACTCCTGGCAGTGCTTGGGGGACCATCTGGGATGCTGGGAATCTAACCCGGGTCGGCCGCGTGAAAGGCAAATGCTCTACCCACTGTGCTATCACTCCAGCCCCCTGGAAAACTTATTTTTTAATTTTTATTATTATAATTTGGGTCGCATGCCTGAAAGCTTCAGTGCTTACTGTTTTGATATGTACACAACTCACCACCTTAGCACTGCCAAAGTCTAAAAATTGCTATTTTAATTACAAACTTAATTCCATAACTTCAGAAATATCTTGGTGCCAGAACAAAAATATGTAAGTCATGGTGACACTACCAAAGAGCTAAGGAGCTGTGGCAGAGACAGACATGTTATCAAAGAGTTCCAAACTGAGGGAAATACTGAGTGGGAAACAGGGAAGACCTGGGTGCAGTTTCCCACCCTAGATATCATCTTAAAGACCTTCACCCTTTGGAGCTGGTTATGGGGGAGATGATGGTAGCAATACCACCCTCCCCACTGTGTCCCTCCAAGTTATATGGAGCAATGAAACAGGGCTTTCCTGTGCCAGGCATGCAGGAGGTGCTTGACTCATAAAACCTGTGTTTACGAAGAGGATCAGACCAAAGTGCACAGTGCAGCAGAATGTATAGTTACTGTGCCTGGCATTAGAAGCAGGGACTCCTAAGAGGAAGCTGTCTTCTTTCTCCTTTATTTTGTTTAGCATGCCTTTACTGTAGTGACTAAATCCCATTTCAAAAAAGCTGAATTCTATAATAACATTATTATAAGGCCAAATACCAGTAACAATGATGGGTCTCATTCTCCTAAATAGCCTTGAATATAATCTCAGGGCAAGGATGAAAGAGACGTTACTGGGACCTGCTCGAGGCAATCGACGAATAACAGGATGATGAAATGAAAAATGAAATGATAAGGCTCCAAAGTAGTTCTGGGAACCCAGGAGGAGGAAGTGTTAATGGGGCTGGGAAGGTACTAGAATTCATATTCCCACTTTCAAAAAAGAGAGAAAAAAATTGTTTGTTTTAGGGCCACACCCAGCACTGCTCAGGGGTTATTCCTGGCTCTTCACTCAGGAATTTCACCTGGCCATGCACTGGGGATCATACAGGTTATGGGTGATCAAGCATGGGTTGGCTGTCTACAAGACAAACTCCCTATTCATTGTACTATTTCTCAAGCCCCTCAAAAGAGAGAAAATTAGATTGTCTGTCTTGGGTCAGGTATAGGTGTTGGTCTTATCAGTCAGTGGGGTCATGGGGTCATCCAGCAAGCAGGAATTGATCACTGTGGGCATCTCAGAGAGGATTCACATGGGCATGGTAAGGTGCCCCCAAATCATATTTTACCTGCCAGTAAAATATTGAGAGAACTTAAGGTCTTCCTGATAGATGGAATGATGTTAGGAATAAGCAAATTGCCTTGAGCTGTAGCCCTGCCCTTTGATATTCCCAACAAGATATGGATCCTAGTTGTTGGGAAAGATGGTCTATGAAAAAAAGACCAACCGGCTGAGATAACCAGGAGGCAGCCTGAAACTAGGTTCCTGACACTGGAGGCTTTGTCTCAGCCTGGAAGAGTCAGGCTTCGATTTCTTCTATTTGGCAAATTGACATTTCAATTAAGCACCTCCTCTATCCTTGCCTGTGCTGAGTAAGGGCAAGAGCTGTGTAGATAATGGAGATGCATCCTCCCAGAAGGAACTTGCACTCTAATTGAGAGGTGGAGCTAGTTATTTTCATGAATACCTATCCTTCAAACAGAATTTGACATAAACACAGAGGCACAGCAGGGTGTTAAGGTCATGGCTTTTGGAATGGGCTTCATATCCCAGCTTGATCACTTTCTAGCATTATACTATGGGGATAATCATAGAACTATTCTGCGGATCAGTTTCAAATCCATTCTATTTTGTGGTTATGAGGATGTCCTGAATTCACAGATGAAGAAAAGGAAGCTGTCTGCATGATCCTCTGTTTCTGCCTATGGGAAATCCTATCCCATCCGTATAGCCCTGGTTCAGGTGTCACATTTTCCAGGAAGTCTTTGTCAGTCTTCCTGTCAGGAAAAATAAAGGTCCTCTATTTATTTATTTATTTATTTATTTATTTATTTAAGTCACACCCAGTGATGCTCAGAGGTTACTCTTGACTCTGCACTCAGAAATTACTCCTGGTAGTGCTCAAAGGACCACATGGGATGCTGGGGATTGAACCTGGGGCGTGCAAAGCAAATGCCCTATCTGGTGTACTATCACTCTGGCCCCAGGAGAAATATAGGTCCTTTATAGTTACTCTAACAATTCATAATTGCTGTAACAGTCATTCCTATCATAATAGTAGCAGATATTTGTTGAGAGCTTACTTTGTGACAGAGAACAAAAATCCCCAGGGTGCTGGCATCATTTTACATATGTGGAAACTAGCACAGGATGGTTGATTAACTGGCTCAGGACCACACAGCTGATAAGTAAAGAAGCTGGAATTTGAATTTGTGTGCTTTGTGCCATTGGTTTCACTTACCATTCCCAGCAGCCTAGATTGTGCCAGGCACTCTACAAGACCCCTTCTCCCTCTGGCAGTGGTAACAAAGTACTGAAATGACCACTGTAGAAAAGGTGATACCTCACCTGCTAGAGAAGGGAAGCATCGGGGGCTTACCAACTAACAGTGTAGCAGAACCTGGTTAGCCAGGCTGCTGCTTGCCTTATATCTGCATGTCAGTATTCCATGGAGCAAGCCAGGATGCAGTTTAATTGACCTGTTTGTAGCTTTAAGCCCAAGGGATTTTCAGAATCCATTTAAGTGTAAGTGCTGTTTGGTCATGTTGCATTGGCTAAGGTTGGTAGATGTGAAACTGACTTTAGAATAAGAAACTTGAATTGAGGTTTTGCTTGAACATCAACATCCAAATGAGGTTTTCTGCCTCCATGACCTTTGTCTGCTTTTCTGGGAATCATTTCTTCATCTTTAGGGTTGTAGCTGCTAACAGATCAATTCTTGGATCAGCGAATATCAGACCCAAACTCATTCTTAGAATTATTGCTTATATACTGATAAGTATAAAAATAATAGTAGGAACAGAATTGCTTTAGAATTTATTACATTTATAATGATGTTTCAACATGTATATCATTTAATACAACATGCATGGCAATACTATGAGGGTTGTCCCCAAAATGTGGTTGCCCATTTTTCAAAGGGTAAAATGAGACTCATCGAGTTCAGGTAATTGCTCTGAAGCCACACAGAAGTAAGTACCAGAGGCAGGACCCCAGCCCAGGTCTGCTGGTCATCAGAGTCAACACAGGAAGCTGAAGCAGAGAGAAATGACTTTGTGTATACTCCCCTCTCCCCTTGATATTTGCGTTTGTTGAAGCTATGTCTAGAAGTCACTGAGACTAAAATTCTGCTGCCCTCACCCACTTCCCTTGCCAGTGAAACTCTCCAGAGAATTTTGCACTAGGAGTACAGTGGCTCAAAGTCCTGGTATAT